GGAAGAGAGCAGCTAAATGGCTGCTTGCTACTAACCTCTATCACAACATCCAATAGAACACCACCTAGCTGTGCAATGTCACAAAGAGCACCATAAACTTATGAAATTATGGTGACATTATTACCAATGAAAGGAAATGTTGCTCAGTGACCAACAGTAGATGAAGAATTCTGCTCATTAAGAAAGAGGCGGACATGCTTCAGGTTGAATACACAAATAGCACAATTTTTATGGCACTATAAAAATGTAAATTTTAACCTAAAGTCATTTAAGCAAAACTGAAGAGTAAACTTGATTCTAAAGAAAAGTGTAAAACATTCTAATAATGCTGTTACCAAAAGTATGGCAAGGGTTAATTCAGAACATTCAACACCTACATCATCAACTTCAGAAACCTGCTGAATGATATAAGTTAGAAGAAATGAATAAGTGAAAATATTCAAGAAAGGCAAATGTGACAAAAATGTCAGCAAAATGTTAGAAAACAGTAAAATATGCTACGAGATTTTATCAAAACCAAAAACCACTGTTTCTGCTTACTTCCTGAAATGTTATTCTTCTTAATTTTAGGAGAGTCTGGATGGACATGGCCAATGACACCACCCTAGAGGGCTTTATCCTTCTAGGCTTCTCAGATAATCCCAGGCTGGAAATTACTCTCTTTGTGGTTTTATCCATCTTTTATATGATCACCCTAGTGGGCAATGTCACTATCATACTTTTGTCCCACATAGACTCTCAACTCCACGTCCCCATGTATGTCTTCCTCACTCAACTCTCCTTCCTGGACCTGTGCTTCACTACCAGCTGCATTCCCCAGATGCTGGTCAACCTCTGGGGGCCAGACAAAACAATAAGCTACCTAGGATGCACAGCTCAACTCTACATCTTTCTGGGATTGGGTTCTGCTGAGTGTGTCCTGCTGTTGGTCATGGCTTTTGACCGCTACATAGCAGTGTGTCGGCCTCTGCACTATGTGGTAATTATGAACCCAAAGTTGTGTCAGAAGCTGGTGCTCCTGGTCTGGGTGAGTGGGATTTTTGGTACCTTGGTACACTCCCCTACCACAATGAAGCTGCCCTTCTGCCATCA